TTCAGTCCGCAGACTGATGCTCTACCACTAAGCCAAACCGGCTTCGACCATCCACTCATCTTCTATACTTACTAAATGTAAACTCAGTGAGAGCAGGTACTTTCTGTTGTGTTCATTCCTGGATCCCCTATACCTAAGAGAGTACCTGGCCCACAGAAGATACTCAATAAATATCTGTGCAACAAATGTCATTCAACCCAACTGACTGAGGGAATCCTTCCACATCCTACAATCCTCTGGTCAACACTAGTACAATGGTTTTTGGAACAAAAACCTTTTCTCTCAAGCTCTTCTATAAGCACTGAGTCTGTCTGGGCTCTTGCATATTTGCAATATCATCTATCTAATCCCAGCAGACCTGGCCCCTGCCTTCTCTTCCTTTGCTTCCTATTCCTGTAAAAATCACCAGTGGCTGGTGACCTAGTTGCAGATGAATATAACTAATAAATATCAGCATTCAATAAAAACTACTGTTGTGTTTATTCTTTTATAGAATAAAGGAATCATTAAAATCTTGCAACTATGTGAGTCTCTTCACTAACTGTATTTAAATGATGAAGCAAATGTCTTAAAATATAGTAGCTTTCTACTGATCAGGTTTTCAGGAGACCTCAGTTGTGGTTCCATGGAATTGCCACAACTCTGGGTACTCCCCCTGAGTGCTCCAGTATTCTCCAGGGGGGAAATGTAGGCTTTGGGTTAGATGACCACTAAGACCCTTCTTTAAAAAAATTTTTTTAAAAATTGATTTCAGAGAGTAAGGGAGAGGGAGAGAGAGAGAGAAACATCAATGATGAGAAAGAATAATTGATTGGCTGCCTCTTGCATTCCCCCTACTGGGGATTGAGCTCACAACCCTGGGCATGTGCCCTTGACTGGAATCAAACCCGGGACCTTTCAGTCCACAGGCTGACGCTCTATCACTGAGTCAAACCAGCCAGGGCTAAAAGTCTTTTTTAATCTAAAATTGTGGTTTCCTTGGAAGAGAAGAGTTCCTATTCTTACCGTATTTTCCGGCGTATAAGACGACCTTTGAACCGAAAAAAAGTCAACCGAAAATCAGGGGCAAAAGACCAAAATTGCACAAAAATTACCTGCAGATCTTGATGGCAAAGTAAGTCTTTTCTTTGAAGTGGGGGGGGGGGGGGGGGGAAGGGGGTAGTAGTCTTATACAGCGAATATAGGCCTAAACCTATGTTTTAACTGTAAAAATTAGGGGGTCATCTTATACGCCAGAAAATACGGCGTATAAGTCTCTACAAATGCAGGTGGTTATCTCATTGGCTTTCCCAAAGAAACATTGGTTATGCCAAAGAAACAGGCTCACAAGACAATATGACCTTTATATTGGTCAGGACTTTCCTATTAGGGGTATAAACCCAATTCAAACTGGCAGAAGTGAATAAGGGTATTTATTTGCGCTGACAAGTTGAAATTCCAGGTGTAGAGTCTTTTCTGGTGAGCTGGGTTCTAGGGCTTAAGGGGGACCCAGTCTCTTTTCACTTTCTGGCTCCACTTTTTTCTGTATTGGCTTCATTTTCAGTAGGCTCTCCCCAGCAGCATCACAATGACACATGCCAGCTTCAAATCCAAGAGAAAAAAGGCTTCCCAGGAACTCTGGGATCTTCTTAAAACAATCTCATTGGTTTGGTGTGAGTCATGTGGTCCTTCCTGAACCAATCACTATGTCCAGGGAAATAGAGAGACAGATTAGCCACATCTGTCATAGTATCCATTCTCCAATGGAGCTGGGGTGGGGGTGGGGCCAGCCCATCCAATCCACAGGGGCTGACAGTGGCAGAAAGATAGATGTCAAAGGAAACTCAATCTATCTAATAACAGAAGAAGGAAGGTTGGATATTAGACAAGTGAAAATAATAGATATTAATTTTGGTTTCCATTAAGTTATGATTTTCCTGTAGGTACTGTATTAATCTCCCATGGCTGCTGGATGGCCCAAAACAATAAAACATTCTCGAGATTTTAGAGGCCAGAAGTCTGAGCTCAAGGGGTTGACAGGGCCGTATTCCCTCTGGAGGCTCTAGGGTAGAATTCCTTCTTTGCCTCATCCAGCTTCTGGTGCTGTCTGCATTCCTTGACTTTGTGTCACTCTAATCTCTGCCTCTGTGGTCACCCTGTCTCCTCCTCTTCTTTTTTTTCAAGTCTTCCCCTGCCTTTCTCTGATAATGTCACTTGTCATTAAATTTAGGGCCCACCCAAATAATCCAGGATAATCTCATTAAGATTCTTAATGACGCTCTATCCACCAAGCCAAACCAGCCAGGGCTGTATTAATATTGATAATAGCTCATAATCAAGAACTCAAATGGAGCCTTAGCCGGTTTGGCTCAATAAATGGAGCATCGGCCCAAGGACTGAAGGGTCCCAGGTTCAATTCCGGTCAAGGGCACGTATCTTGGTTGCAGGCTGGACCTAGTCGGGGCATATGCAGGAGATAACCAATCGATGTGTCTCTCTCATATTGATGTTTCTCTCTGTCTCTCACTCTCTCTCTCACTCTCTTTAAAAAATCAATGGAAAAGTATCTTTGGGTAAGGATTAACAAACAAACAAAGAAAGAACTCGAATGGAAAGTCATTGGCAAGAATATGCCTGATTTCTTTTCTTAGTTCAAATGAGTAAAAAAACATTCAAAATCTCAACCACTGGCCTTTGCTTGACTAGGTAAATGGTCCTAGGAACCTCTGTCTCCATTAGAGACAAACAAGATAAAAATCTTGTGATTAAATTAACAGGAGCTCCAACTCCTTCAAGAAGACAACAGCGGAATACATGTTTTCAAATAGATGTCATTTTGTCCCCTATTTCCTCCCACATTCAGCCCAAGCAGCTGCCCTTTCTGGTTGCTCAGGTTGGACCGGGAACTCACTGGTTGCTGGTATTTTCCCTGGAGGCATCGTGGCAGCAAATCTGGATTCAGATCCTCAGATATCACTGGGGCTGGGCAGGTGGCTCGGTGCTTTATCAGTGGGATTAGTCTTACAGGTGTTTCTCAAGGCTGGGGACTGGTGAGGAGTCTGATCCCGTAGCCTCCCCGCACCCCAATTCAGGAGCAAAGGGGCATCTATCTAGATTCTGGGGTGTGGGTCTGCTTTTTCTACTAGAAACCGTGGGGTGTGAGAAGGGGGAGAAGCGTTGGGGGTCATGATTTCTGCTCCTCTTCTGCATCTGGGGAACATACTCAGCTTACACACGGCACACAGGAACTGTATGTACATCGGAGGCGAGCGTTTCCAGTGTTGGAAGCAGTGCGGTGTCATAGAAAGAGCTCTGGCCTGTGACACTGGTGGGCAGATCCTTCTCTGTCACCACCTTGCTCAGTGGCCTTACCTGGCACCTCCCTAGTTAAGGCTCTGCACACACCCCTCCCCCCCAGTATTTAAACAAGAGGATTGGACCAGATGCTCTCTGAGGCGTCTTCTAGCTTCCCTGTCGCTCAGATGCACACACAATTACCCCCTCCAGGCTGAGAATCTGGGATACCGGCAAGGTTCGTTAGCTGCTTCTTTTTCCAGAAAGCTCTCTCCCACACACCCTGAGGTTGTTGATGTAACCAGGACCCTAACTCAGGTCCCAGTTGTGCCTGTACCGCCATTCATCAAACAGGAATGGGGTGCCCCCAGGTAGGCGCTGGAGCTAGACAGATAAGTGAGGTGCAGGCCCTGCCCGGAGGAGCACACGGCCCAGGGAGGGGCCAGACGAGGACATGAAGGGTTGCATCACGCCGTGGTCAGTGCCACTCTAGGGCTATGAATGAGGCTGCCTGGCACACAGAGGCTGGGCACATCCGTCTGGGGTGGAGTCAAGAACGGCTTCCTGCCAAAACTGGTTTGGCTCAATGGATAGAGCGTCGGCCTGCAGAATGAAAGGTCCTGGGTTCAATTCCAGTCCAGGGCATGTACCTTGGTTGTGGGCACATCCCCCGTAGGGGGTGTGCAAGAGGCAGCTGATCGATGATTCTCTCTCATCGATGTTTCTGGCTCTCTGTCCCTCTCTCTTCCTCTCTGTAAAAAAATCAATAAAATATATTAAAAAAAAAAAAAAAAAAAGAACGGTTTCCTGGGGAAGGTGACCCCTGGGCAGACCCTGCAGGGCGAGCAGGAGTCACCTGCCCGAACAGGGATCAAATCCTCATGTGCCCACAGCAAGGATGCCCTCTCAACAGGTGCTTGCCAACTGCCACGGACACAGTGCTTCCTCTAGACACAGGTGTCTCGCCCTGTCTGTTCCCCCGGGCCTGACACAGGGATGGAAACGGTGCACATCACATGGAAGCCCAGGGGAGCCCAACTTTGACACAGACCCGCGACGGCAGAGCGAGGACCCCAGCAGCGGCATTTTTGGCCAGCATCGGATGCTGCAACCTGTGTTCTGTGCACAGAACACACTTCCTCCTCTGCCTTTCTTTTCTTAAAAAAAAACAAAAACATTTTATTGATTTTTCATAGAGAGGAAGAGAGAGGGATAGAGAGTTAGAAACATCAATGAGAGAGAAACATCGATCAGCTGCCTCTTGCACACCCCTGACTGGGGATGTGCCCACAACCAAGGTACATGCCCCTTGACCGGAATCGAACCTGGGACCCTTTAGTCCGCAGACTAACGCTCTACCCACTGAGCCAAACTGGTTTCAGCTCCTCTGCCTTTTCTTTCCTTTTCCCCCTTTCTGCTGAAAGTGTGGCGGAAGGCACGTAAAACCTGTTGGCTTCCGAGTGTCTTCTGACCTAAGCTCTCCTCGGATCCTACTTAGTCACGGCAGGCTTCTTGGAGGAAGTGGTAAGAAAGAAAGGTGAGGACAAGCCTGACTAACGCGGCTGGCATCTCAGCCAGGGGAGTCTCCCAGGGCCCCTTCCGACCCACACCCAGGCCACCACCCTCCCCTGCGCTTGACCTTTGATCCTCTAACTTACCTCCCGCCAAGCAGAACCAAGCTTGACCAAGTCCTCTTTCCCCCCACCCCCCCCACCCCCGTGTAGCGGGGCTGGGCACGTCCCTCAAGTTCATGGTTCGTAGCTTTAAGCCAAACTGGTTCCTGCGCCCGCCCAGCATCTGGACCTGGGGGACCCGCAGGCTGCGGCTCCTTCTGGCCGTGCATTACCTCGGAGGCGGCGCCCGGGCCCCGCCCCCTCCCGCCGCAGGTTCAAGTGTGGGCTGGGCGCTGGGCGGCGAGGAACACTCCCGGCTCGCCCAGCAACCTGCTCCCTGCTCGGCCGCCAGGCTGCGGGCCGCGGGGCCGGAGGGACGGGACCCGGAGCGGCGCTGAGCGGTCCAGCCCCGAGCTCTCCAGCGCCCGAGCCCGCACCGCGCCGCCGCCGGTCTCCGGTCCCAAGTTCACGGGCGCCCCGGGAGGAGTCGGCTCGCGCAGGAGGCAGCAGGCAGGTGGCGCCGGCTCGGGCTGGGCGGCGTGGAGCTCGCTCGGCCCCGCGAGGGTTAAGCCTTGCCGGCTCCCGCTGCCCGGCTGGCGGCCAGCTGCCTCCAGGGAGAGGCCGGAGCCGCTGCTGCCCGGACCGACCCGGAGGGACGCCGTTCGCTGGGGCTGCATCTGACCTCAGACCCCCTCCCCGCCCCCACCCCTGCCTCCGGGAGGAGCAGAGAGTGGGGGCTGCGGGCGGGGAGCCCCTGCCAGCTCAGCCTCTAACCCCCCCCCCCCCCCAATCCCCGGGGTGACTGGAGAGCCAAGGGGGCAACGAGACACGGAGATGGCCGATGAGCCCGCCTGGCTGGACTTGCTGGGCCGGTGGACCTACGGAGTGGACCCCGGCGGGAGAGTCTTCTTCATCAAGTACGTTGTCCGTCTCTCGTTGCTTTCTTATGTCTTCAAAGTTGTCTAACTTGCACGGTGGTGGCAGGGCTGGGGGGCGGCAGGCGAGGGCAGGGGGAAGCGGTGGCTGGGACAAGGGCATGACTAATAAGTTTATCACACGCCGGTTTGAATGGGTCTCCTCCCGCCTTTTCCCCGGCGACCAAAGTCCAGCAGGGACTCGGCATTCCTGCGGGCTGGCAGGGCAGGGCCAGGCAGGGCAGGTGCTGGCCTTCCCCCGGCGTTTTCTCTTCTGTGCAGCCCACGAAACAGGCCAGGGCTGAGTTCTTTCTTTCTTTGTTGACCCCCACCCCGATTCTTAAGGGAAGACTTAAGCTCAGTGACAAAATATCAGGGGACCCTGCCCCTACCGCCTAGGCCCTGGCGTTTCCTCACCCCAGGACCCCGTGTCCCCAGGCCCGCAGCCTCTCCTTCCGGCGTCTCTGTGGGGCTGTGGTCCAGGGGAGGGAGGGCATGCCCACTACATCAGCATTCTCTGGAGCGCGGGCCTGTGCTGCTCGCAGTAATATATTAGCACTGTTCTATTAATTCCATAAACCGAAATGGCTTTGGCAAAATCTCATTATAACGGAGGGGCCCCGCCGGCGCTATTTTGGCCGCTCGTCCTATAGTCATGCTTTGCCAGGAGAGAAATCTCCCGAGAACACAGCGAGTCTACAAGCCTGGCATCCTGGACGGCCCCCCTGCCCAGGATGAGCTGTCCCTTCCTCCGGAGAGCCACACGGAACAGGAGAGCCGAGGGCATCTCCGATGCGAGGTCCTCAGGTGGGGAGTGCTCGGCCGAGATGAAGCCACTTGTTACCAGGGCTCAGACTCCGTCCAGTACCTGCTGACGTTAGCCATTCCCCTTCCCCGCCTGTGCCCGCGATTCCCCTCTAGTGTTTCTCGGTTTCCTCGTGTGCTGTAGGCCTTTCTTCTGTAATTATCATCACTGTGATCATAATTGAGGTTGCAATTAGATGATCTTAGAAGTGACCTCCATTGAAGTTCTTGATCCTGCGTTAGGTTCTTAAATAACAGAAATCCCCCACTATTAAAACTGGACTTTCCACCGTCCCTGGCTTGGGACTTTATTGCCCATAAGAATCACCCGAGGAAATTATGAAAAAGGCCGGCCTGACGCTACCTGCAGGCGCTCAGAAGACCTGGGGAGGAGCCTGGGGATCTGAATTTCCACAAGTTCCTCAGTTTTTCCGATGAAGGATTACTTTGACTCTCCACCTCTTTCTTCCCAATCTCATTTACCTTCTGGCTTCTCTTCTTCTTTCTTTCTAAAGTATTTTTATTAATTTCAGAGAGGAAGGGAGAGGGAGAGAGAGCGAAACATCAATGATGAGAGAGAATCTTTGATCAGCTGCCTCCTGCACGCCCCATGCTCGGGATCAAGACCGACACCTGGGTGTGGGTCCTGACTGGGAATCAAAACACGACCTCCTGGTTCATAGGTCGACACCCAACCACTGAGCCACACCGGCTGGCCTTCTCTTCTTCTTCCATTCCACAAACTTCTATTGAGTGCCCACTGCTTTTCTACCGGAGGGCTAGGCACTGGAGATAAGGAAGGAAAAAAAAAGAAAGAAAAAAAAGAGGAAAATATAGGGTTTTTTTTTTTTTTTTTTTCTTGAAGGGGGTAGAAAGAAAATGAAAATAAATACTTAGGAAATAATAGGATACATTCTAGAGGATTTTCATGGTGCTCCAGGAATACAAGGAAGAAAAAACGAATGTTCTCCAAGGAGGAAACATTTGAGCTGCTTCGAGAGGAGAGAGGCCACAATGAGAGGGCCCTTGAAGCAGAGGCCTATGGGAAGGAGGGCATGATGGTGCCAGGGCACAGGTTATCGAGGACATGAGGGGGTCTCCTGAGATGGAGTGGAGGTTGCAGAAGATGTGGTGGGATAAGGGGTGTGAACCTGATTCTGTAGGCGAAGGGAAAGCAAAGATTTTAGACAGAGGACTAGCACAGTCAGAGCTGCGCTTTAGAAGGCTCCCTCTGGCAGCTGCATGGACGGGATGACCTGGGGTGCGGGGAGCGGTTAGGAAGCAATTGCAGAAGGTCCAGCTGATGGGGAACTGCATTCGGATGCTGAGAACAGAAGGGAAGGGGAGGGTGAGGTGGGAGAAAGGGGAGTGGAATTGAGAGCACTCATGTACTGCCTGAATGTTGGGAGGGAAGGGAAGAAAAAAGGAAGATTTGAAGATAAATCTCAGAATTGTTTATGTCAGGTTGACAGAGATCCAGGAGTATGGGAAGGGGAATAGATTTTAGGGGAGATAAGGTCAGTGGGAAAATTCCAAACTTAAAGTCCCTGTGGGATATTCAAGAGGTGATGTTGGCCGAAACCAGTTTGGCTCAGGGGATAGAGCATCGGTCTGCGGACTGAAGGGTCCCAGGTTCAATTCTGATCAAGGGCATGTACATTGGCTGCGGGCACATCCTCTGTGAGGGGTGTGCAGGAGGCAGCTGGTCGATGTCTCTCTCTCATTGATGTTTCTAGCTCTCTAGCCTTCTCCCTTCCTCTCTGCCTCTCTGTAAAAAATCATATATATATATATATAATGTCTAATAGGACAGAGCTTGAAGATAAGGGCCTGGGCTGGAGAGCCCTGAGAGCCATCGTGTGGGAGTGGAACCACCCAGGAGTAGGAGTAGGTGAGAGAGCAGAAAGGCGGGTACCCAGGCAGCACCCACGTTTAAGGAAAGGACAGAGGGGAGAGAGGATGGAGACGGCCAGGGGTCACAGAGGTGGACAGCACCAGGGCCAGGGGCGGGTGCTGCCTCAGAAGGTGAGGAAGAAGGATGTTAGGAAGAAAGGAAGAGTCAATAGAGAAGTCAGACGTGTCTGCTGGATGCAGGAACTGTGGGGATCTTTAATGACCACTAGGAAAGTGGCTTTAGGGGAGGGCTTGAAACAGAACCAGCTCGCAGGGGTTGCTGAGTGGGAGACCAGGAAGTGGGGACAATCAGAGGGACTGCTTTCCAAAGGGAATGTTTGCTCCCTAAGAAGGGGAGCAGGAGACAGGGGCTGGAGGAGGAGGCAACACTGAGAGGGAGGCCGAGGGTCAGACCGTGGAAGACACGAGCAGGAGTGAGGGCTGAAGGAGAGGAGGAAGCTGAAGATACCAATCTTCAATAGACTGTACACTGAGTGGCCGGGTTATTATGATCTCTGAACGCATAATAATCTGGTCACTTAGTGTGTGTGTGTGTGTGTGTGTGTGTGTGTGTGTGTGTGTGTATTAGAGGCCTAGTGCATGCATTTGTGCATGGGTGGGGGTCCGGCCAGCCTGGCCTGGGGGAGGGGACATGAGCGGTTGGCTGGCCTGTCTGCTGGTCGAACTCCTGGTCGAGGGGACAATTTGCATATTAGCCTTTTATTATATAGGATATATATACTGAGTGGCCAGATTATTATGCATTCAGAGATCATCATAATCTGGCCACTCAGTGTAGATGCCCAGTAGAATACGATTCTGTAAGATAGGAGAGGGTGGCGGCTACCCCCTCAGCAGAGGGATTCGCCTTAATGGAGCAGGTATGACAGGATTGGGGGGGGCATGGCTGTGGTTGGGATGGGGTGGTTAGGCCCCCTAGGAAAGGGTCTGCCCATGCTTTCTATTTGTGTATGTGTGAAATAAGAGATAAGCTATCCATTGGGAAGGGGTGGGTGGGCAAGGTGGGGGTCAGGGAGAGGCGGGCGTGAGACTTGAGGTTGTGGGAAAGCCTTAGAACAATCTGCAAACAAACTGGCTGGAGCCCCTGAAAAAGTTTCTAGGGCGCAGCTAAGCGTGGAGACTGCGGATTTGCAGTGACATCAGCCTTCCCAATTCCACAGGGTCCCCATCAGCCCAAAGCTGGAGTGGAGATAGCGGGTGACTGCATTGTTCTGGCCCAGGGGCCTGCATGGGGCGGCCCAGGGGAAGAGGAAGTTGAGGGTGTGGTGGGGCTGTGCCCACCCCGTGACCTCCTGATTATTCATGATATCCAGGCAAACGGAGGGAGCTGGCAGGGTGAAAGCGGGAGAGGGATCAGGGGCCAGAAAATGTCAGGGTGGCGGGAGAGGAAGTACAGGAACAAATGTCCCCTCACACCCACAATTCAGCGCTGGCCGGGTTTAGTCTTCCTCAGCCGCCTCTCCCATGGCCTCCCAGGACCAAAGCCCAGCCCAGCGGTCATCCCCGAGGGCCCACAGTGTCTCCAGGGCCCCCTGGGCACCAGACCAGCCGCTGTACCCCTTCTCTCCTCTCCCTGGAGGGGCGGGTGAGCTGGGAAACCTCCTCTTGCGGAGCCTGTCCAAACAGAGGGAAAGATGAGTGGAGTCCAGAGAAAAGCAAGTCCATCCCATACAGGGATTTGGACCTGAATGTTCCAAGCAACTTCCTTTGTCATGGCCCCAAACTGACAACCACCACAATGTCTACCAGCAAGCCAGTGAAGGAACACCCCCCCGTATGGCCTACGATGGAGTACTACTCAGTAACGAAACGGAACAAGCTGTGCACTCACGCTACCCCCCAGGGGAGGGAGGGAGGAAGAAGAGAAGGAAAGCAACCAAGGGGTCTAGCTTGTATGAGTCACTTACAGCATACTCTAGAAACTCTAGAAAATGCGATCTAACCTGTAGTAGCAGGAAGCAGCCTCGCTGCTGGGGGGAAGGGAAGGTTAGCAAAAGCTGTGTGTGTGTGGAGAGAGGAATTACTATGGGGGGCGGGGAGGGAAGAAAATTTGGGGGAATTCATTTCTTGATTTTTTTTTAATAATATATATTTTATTGATATTTTACAGAGAGGAAGGGAGAGAGATAGAGAGCTAGAAACGTCGATGAGAGAGAAACATTGACCAGCTGCCTCCTGCACAACTTCTACCAGGGATGTGCCCGCAACCAATGTACATGCCCTTGACCGGAATCCAACCTGGGACCTTTCAGTCCGCAGACCGACGCTTTACCACTGAGCCAAACCGGTTTTGGCCACTTCTTGATTTTTGAGGTAGTTTCATGAATATATATATATATATATATATATATATATATATATATATATATATATGTACTTTAAATTAAGCCAGACGTTTTAAATATGTGCAGTTTATTATCTATCTTGCTTCACTAAACATTTTGCGAGCCCTTCTTAACAGAGTTGTTTATATTCATTAAAGTATTAATTATAGCTTAAAAGCACTGAGTGTCCTGGACCCCAAGGACCTTCCACCTCATAAGCTGGGTGACACAGGTGGTCTGAGAGTCCTCTGCTCCACAGACCTGGATTGGCCGAGAAGGTAGGGGAGAAGGCAGTGGCACGTGGCTGGCGTGGGCCGAGAAATACCGACGGGCCATCTGCCCTCGGGTCCTCGGCCAGAGCCCAGAGGATCTGCGCGCGGGAGCCCACCCTGCTGGGAGGAAGCTATTAGAGAAACTCAGGCTTTATGGGGGATGGATCTGGGTCTGAATCTGGGCGTCATCACTGACAAACGGTGTGGCTTTGGGCCGATGACTGCACCCCTCCGAACCTCACATTCGTCCTCTGAAAATTCTCAATGTGCGGGGATGCTGTGAATGAAAACACATGGAGTCATAGACGCCCAGGGACTGCGGGCTCCCCCGACCTCCTCCTTCTTTACCCACCGAGGAGCTGCCCCCTAAGGACCTTCCCTGTTCTTCCCACGTGACTTCACCATCACCTCAGATGCCACTTCCCTAGCGAAGCCCTCGTGCTGTTCCTCTTCTTCACTTCATCCCGGTTAGTGCTCCTTCTCTGATGGGACCGCACTGTGCTCGGCTGTCACAGGGGTTACACTTCCTGTCACATCACGATGTGATTCGACTGTTAAACATTGCGGTGCAATTGAAATACTACATTATATTGTGCCGCTATCTTCCCATGTTTGTTTATTTGGGGTCGGGGATCAGACAGTGTTCCTCTCTGAATCCTCAGCGCCTGCTCAGTAAATGCTCTGTGAATATGAATGAATGAATGAATGAATGAATGGAATGGGGATGCTCCATCTGAGGTGCCTGGGATCGGCCAGTTGGTGCTGATGTGAACTTGAAGCTGACATTTTCTTATTGGTTTTCTACAGTGATGAGGAAAAGTCAACCAGCTGGGTGCATCCTGGCACGAAATCACCCGTCCAGAGTGGATTCTGCTCCAGCCCAGGTAAGAAGCTCCTCTGCCCCTGGTTTGAAACAGAAAAGGAAGCAGTGGTGTCCATCAGTAGATGAGTGGATAGAAAGCAGTGGCATATGTACCCAGTGGAATACCACTCGGCCGTAAGAAGGAAGAAAGTGTTACCCTTTGTAGGGCATGGAGGGACCTGGAGAGCACGACGCTAAGTGAAATAAGCCAGTCAGAGGAAGACAAGTACCGTATGCTTTCACTCATAAATGGGGTCTAATGGACAAATCGAATTATCAAGCAAAATAGAGACAGATTCATAGACAGAGAGCAGACACACCGCTCTGGGGGAAGGGAGCTGTTAGGAGTGGAGGGTTTGAGGAAAAGAAAAAAAGAAAAAAAAAAAGAGAGAACTCATGGACACAGACAGCAGTGTGGTGATTGCCATGATGGGGGATGGATATAGAAGTGGGCATACCCTAGCCAGTTTGGCTCAGTGGATAGAGCATCGGCCTGTGGACTGAAAGGTCCTGGGTTCGATTCCGGTCAAGGGCACATGTCTGGGTTGTGGTCTCGATCCCCAGTGGGGGGCATGCAGGAGACAGCCAGTTGATGATTCTCTCTCATCATTGATGCTTCCATCTCTCCCTTCTAAAAATAAATAAATAAATAAACAAATAAATAAATAAATAAGTAGAAGAGGGCATAGAGGGGCTAAATGGTGATGGAAAAAGAAAGTAAGCTTTTAAGAAACAATAAAAGGATGCAATAGCTTGAGGTGGCAGTAGGACTTTGCTTCCGAATTTTTCTTTCTCCATGGAGGGGCTCAGCAGACAATTCCATCCACTCTCTGGGAAACTTTGAGGGAGCTTTGATGCTCACTCTTGGGTCTTCCCAAGCCTCTGCTCCACAATTAGTATCCGGAAAAGGCCTCTGAGAACAAAGGCTTTGCTCCCCTCTCGCCTCCTGCATCCTGAGCGCCCCCAGAGCTGGATCCAAGGACCTGACCCCCATGGAGCTGTTGTCTCTCTGGGCTGCCAACGCAGGCGCCACCAGCCAGGGGCTGCTGAGCAGCTGAAATGTGATTAGTGTGACGGAGGAACTGAATTTTAAATGTTAATTAAGCTACATTTAAAAAGCCCAGGTGCCTGGTGGGAACTCCCTCACGTTGGGGGAACCTTAAAGAAAAGGGGGCAGGGCCAGCCCTGATGGCTTACTTTGGAGCAGACTCCATTCCCAGCCCGAGGGGAACAGCCAGGCGAGTGGGAAAGGGGGGGCACGTCCAGGCAGAGATTTTATCGATAGTGAAGAGGTCAGACAGGGAGGATCAGACAGGCCTGTGGGACTCCAACTCAACAACCAGTTCAACCAGTCGACCAGTCGTCCCCTTCGGCCACCAGAGGCCCATGCGCAGGGGCCTCCCAGCCCTTGGCCTGACCACAGAGCGGGCACGTGGCTCTGAGCGCCTGGTCCCCCTGGGGCACGGTGGCACTGCGGGGCACACGGGGTTAAGCTGTGCACTTGCCCACAGCCTGCTTTCTTTTAGATTCCAGCCTGCAATCACCGCGGTTCTATAGCTGGAAGGGATGTCAGGGATCCTGGAGTCCATTCATTTTAAATAAAAAAATCTGGGTTTGGGGAAAAAGGAGGTCCTTATATAAGAAGACAGAAGATTTGACTTTGGGTGTGAGCACACGGTGCAATATACAGATCTTGTAACATAGAAACCCACACCTGAAACCTGCACGTTCATGTGGACCAATGTTACCCCAGTACATTTAATAAGTAATAATAATGATGATAATAATAAGAAAGAAAATGGAAGAGCAGAGAGGAAGTCCCTGGCTCAAAGCCAATAAGTAAAGCGAAATTGGGGTTCAATGCGTAAGATGTAGGGGCTGAGGGACTTAAGCTCTCCCCTCAACTCTGCTTTCTATTTTTTTTTAAATCTGCATTATTATTATTTTAAAAAATATATTTTATTGATTTTTTTACAGAGAGGAAGGGAGAGGGAGAGAGAGTTAGAAACATTGATGAGAGAGAAACATTGACCAGCTGCCTCCTGCACACCCCCCACTGGGGATATGCCCGCAACCAATGTACATGCCCTTGACCGGAATCGAACCTGGGACCCTTCAGTCTGCAGACCGACGCTCTAGCCACTGAGCCAAACCGGTTTCGGCTCTGCTTTCTATTGCTGTGCCGTGAGCAAGTGGTTTATTTTCCCCAGGACTCGGCTTCCTCATCTGCAGAATGGGGAGAGGAAATGAATCTCAGAAAGGCTGTAGCATTGCCAAAACCGGTTTGGCTCAGTGGATAGAGCGTCAGCTTGGGACTGAAGGGTCCCGGGTTCGATTCCGGTCAAGGGCATGTACCTTGGTTGCGGGCACATCCCCAGTGGGGGGTGTGCAGGGGGCAGCTGATCGATGACTCTCTCTCATCGATGTTTCTAACTGTCTCTCTCCTTTCCTCTCTGTACAAGAATCAATAAAATATATATTAAAAAAAAAAAAAAACCGAAAAAAGAAAGGCTCTAGCACAGAGCATGCAAAGAGGCACGTGCGTAGGCCAAGGTGACCACGCTTGTTATCATCACTGTGGTGTTTTTGACAGACAGCGAGCCTCCTGCCTGGGGGCAGAGCTGTTTGTTTCTGTGCTTCAGCTATTTCCAGTCTGACCCCACCCACTTATCAGGACTCTAGGTGGGACCGGAAGATGAATAAAAAGCCTGGGAGCGGATTCTTTCCATTTTGGCTGTCGCCAGCTGGTTGTCCAAGGCGGGGAAGGGGTTAAGGTGCCCCCGAAGCTCGCCGGGAGGGCAGCTGCCTCAGCGGGCACTCCGCCTGGACCAGAATATAAGCACCCTCGGTGTTGCCCGGGCAGAGAGGGCCGTGTGGAGGGAAGTTGCTGGAAGAGGCAGGGGAGGACATCGTCCTTCTGGCCTCTTTCCCAGCACATCACAGTGGCAGGATGTTTTATGATTCTGACCCAGTGGGGATCCCTCTCCTCGGGGAGGCTGCCAGCCCACGCCCTTCTGAATGGCAGGGCCCTCCCACAGGGACAGAGGGGAACAAGTGGCATTTATGGAGCAGCGCGAAGGGAAGAATGCGAGCTTTGGAGGCAGCAGACCAGACTCACATTCCGGCTCCGACACTTCCTGTGTGACCTTAAGCAAGTTGATGAACCTCTCTGGGCCCCAGGTTTCTTATCCATAAGAATGTTCAGGACGATGCCCATCAGGTAGTGTTGCGGTGCAGAGGAAATGGGGTAGTCGCGGTGAGATGTGTAGCTCAAGGAGGGAAGCACTCGCTGAAGGGTATCTGCTGCTGTTATTTCTCTGGACCGAGTCCTGGGAGGGGAGGTGGGCCTGCTGACAGCCCTACTGTGCTGAAGCAGCAGCGTTACTGGCACCAGCAACTATGGAAATAGGCCCTTGGTAAATATGGGTAAGTCAAATAAATGAATAATGCCTGGGCTCTTTGCTCTATGGAACCCAGCTGGCAATTTGGCTGGAGCGATTCAGACCTCTTAGTGTCCTATATAATAAAAGGCTGATATGCAAATCGACCAAATGGTGAAATGACCGGGCGCTATGACATGCACTGACCACCAGGGGGGCAGACGCTCAACTCAGGAGCTGCCTCCTGGTGGTCAGTGTGCTCCCATGGGGGCGGGGAGAGCCTCTCAGCCCAAAGCTGGGCTCACTGCTGATTGGCGGGAGCCTCTCCTGCCTCTGCAGTAGCACTATGGACCCCTCCAGGGATGCCCCATGGGGAATGACCTAAACCGGCAGTCAGACATCCCCCAAGGGGTCCCGACTGCAAGAGGGCACAGGCTGGGCTGAGGGATCCCCCACCCCATGCACAAATGTTGTGCACCGGGCCTTTAGTATTTTATAAAACCTTGGGCATTTGGACTGACCAGAAAGTTGGCACTGCTGTCAAGAGAACCTGCCCCTGTTTGCCAACATGTCAGCCAGGGGCCTCTTGCTCCCCATGATCTCCCCCAGATCCTGCCTTGGGCTTCTCAAATGGCTCCTTCACCTCTGCCTGGGGTGGAGGAGCCCTGCTCACTGGGGAGACGGGACGTTGCCCAGGGAGCTGTTTTGGAAGGGCGGGCAGGATGATGGTCACTCAGAGCTGGGTGGCCAAGCCTTTCAGGGGCCTGCCCAGGCACCTCGGGACCAAGGTCCGCTTCCCCAGTCGGTCCTTGCTCCCTTGGCGGGTCTGTGGTTTTCACTCAGCATTTCCTATGGGCAACTTTTTTCCAGAAGTGCTATTAAAAAATTGTTTAAACGTCTATTTTTCCCGGGACTGATTTCCTAGCTCAGTGGTCGGCAAACTCATTAGTCAACAGAGCCAACTAGCAGCAGGACAACGATTGAAATTTCTTTTCAGACCCCAGTTTTTTAAACTTCTTCTAATGCCACTTCTTCCAAATAGACTCACCCAGGCCGTTGCATTTTGTGGAAGAGCCACACTCAAGGGGCCAAAGAGCCTCATGCGGCTGTCGAGCTGCGGTTTGTCGACCACTGTCCTAGGGCCTCGGGGTCTTGTCTTGAGCAGCAGAATTGGCAGTAATAACACCGGCCTTGGTGCTCATTGTTGGTGAGACCCGGGCAGGTGACCCACAGCGCCCGCGGCTGTGATGCAGACAGTCTGTGGATGATCCTGAGGACCCTCCCAGGGCAACCACCGGGGTGTTCTCTGCTGTGCCCCGGGGGCTGGCACAGAGCCCTGCGCAGAGCAGATGCTCCATAAGAGTTTGCCGGATGAACGAGTGAATCCTGTGAGGTGACGACTCATTTGGTCCCTCCTCATTGACGTGGGCTGGAAGCAGACCGATAATAATGGACACCAAGGGTGAAATGGCCCTAGCCGGTGTGGCTCAGTGGATAGGGCGCCAGCCTGCAGACGAAAGGGTCCTGGGTTCGATTCGGTCAAGGGCACGTACCTTGGTTGCAGGCTCCTCTGGCCCCGGGCTCTGGTTGGGGCTTGTGCAGGAGGCAACCAACCAATGTGTTTCACATCCATTTTGGTCTGTTATTTTTGTTTCTCTCCCACTATCTCTAAAAAACAATGGAAAAATGTTCTCGAATGAGGATTTAAAAAAAAAAAAGTGAAATGCTGATTTGAACGCTGTTGGCTTGTCTGAACTTTCCTGGCTCTCCCCGCGCCCACCCCTCCTGGTGCAGGTGGGGCAGGGGGCTGAGCAGGCGAGAGGGTGACTCTGTGCTTGTGCTTCCTCACAGGTCTGCCCAGGGGCTGGGAGATGGATTCCACCCGGGAAGGAGCCGTGTATTTCATCAAGTGAGTACGCTCCCGTCTCCCCGTGGGCCTGTCTGTGTGCCGGCCACCAGTGCCCTCCTGAGCGGGGAGAAGGCTCAGGGGTCTGGCTTCTCACCGAGGGCTTGGCTGGGGCTGCTCAGTCGCCAGGAGGTGTCACGGTTTCTGAATGAGCCACAGACAAACATGCGTGTGGGTGAGGCATGCATTTCTGTGGGTGTTGATGTTGGCCTGCGAGCGCCAGTGTCAGCCGTGGGAGGTTTCTCAGGGAGGGTGGGGTGGGTGGGGCGCTGGGCTCGGCTGCACGGGTGGGAGGGAGATGCTAACAGAGGAGAGGCTGCTGCAGACACAGGATAAGGGGTCCGAGGAAGGAGACGGCATTGGCTGCCATGGGAGACAGGAAGTGAGCCGGTGGGAGGGGAGGGCTGAGTGGGGTGCACACACCGGCAGGTTGGGTGGCCCCTGGGCTGCTTCCCTTACTCCTGCTCTTCTGGAGGGGGCATTGTGGTCCTGACAGTGCCAGGCGTGTGTCCCGTGCTCTGTGTTTGTCCAGGGGTGGGCCAGCCCCTCGGTGGGCTGGGAGAGCTCATGCTGTCAGCAGCGGAAGGTGCCACCCTCGATGTGACCATGGAAACAGCCCTCTGGGCCGGGATGGTCCACATCTACCCGATCGGACTCCTTTCCCTTTTTCTTGGCCTGGGTCTCGCCACCTCCAGGCTGGGTACTGGCTTGGCTCCCGTGGGTGAGGCTCGGCATGCTCGGGCCTGTGGGCCTCTCCGTCTGGCCTGGCCTCAGACTCTGCAGGGCTGGGAGGGAAGACGGCTGCCCAGAGGGGGCCCCTCCCCAGCCAGGGGACGGGGCCCTCTTCTTTCCTTCCCCTCCCTCTCTTCTTTGAAAGCCCCATCTCCCTGTACCATGAGGTCACCTTTCCATTTCCGCCCCGGGGCCCGCCAGCTCTTACACCAGAGTCTTAAAACAAACTCAGCACCAGAGGTGATCTGACAAGTGATCTGTTTGAGAAATTGTTGTGACATCACGCGGCTCTCCTAGCCTGAGTTTCCCAGAAATGGAACCCAAATCCTTCTTACATCAGTTAGGATGTTTCTCCGTGGCTCCTTGAAGATGCCGTCTTAGCTCTCGATGGTGTGCATTTGGCTCTGGGATTGCTGACGGAGCACTACCATCTCTTCTCATCAGTCACAAACGGCTTTGCATCTGCTATGGTCTGGCCCTGTCTTCCTCTCTCATCGCTGGCCAGCCACGGTGGTTTTCATCCTTTTCCTCATCACGCCAAGTTCATTCCTACCGCAGGACCTTTGCATTGGCTGTTCCTCTGCCTGGGAACGCTCTCCTTCCCTTTTTGCCCATCTGCTTCAGCGACCAGTCTCGAGCATGTCCAGCCTAAACTCATTGCCTTCCCATCATCAACACCTACCCCAGGCGCCCCACACGGCAGAACCAACTGAGACAGGCTTGAGCCCCTCTCCTCCGGTCTCTTAGCTCTCCCGTGTCCATGCCCACGTGGCTCTCACCTGGATCATCCTGGCTGCCTCCACCGGATTTCCTGCCTCCAGGTCACACTGCTGCAAGAACGCTCTTTTTCTACAATGCAAATTTGGTCATTTCATTCTCCTTGGAAAACCTGTCATGCTTCCAGCTCCCGGATAGACAGAGGGACCCATCAGGGCTTTATCCTCTGGGTCCTGCCTTCTCCAGCCTGGCCTCCCACACTCCCTCCTTTGCCAGACCCAATGGCTGCGGTTCCCTCAACACTCACCTCCCTTCCACGCCTGCCGGCCTCTGCGAGTGCTAATCCCTCCTCTCGCACGCCTTGCGTCTGCCTTCGAACACGGAACTCTTCCTTCCAGACTCTGCTCGTTGCGTCACTTCTTTAGGGAAGGAAGCCCACCTGTATTGTAATTGCTCGTTCGCACACGGTCATTTTCCCCAGAGCAGTGGTTCACAGACTTGAGCGGGCATCAGAATCTCCCGGAGGGCTTGTTCAGACAGAGAGCTCGGCCCCCACCCCTCGAGTTTCTGATTCAGAGAGTCTGAGAATCTGCATTTCATAACAGGTTCTCAGGTTATGCTGGTACCTCCTTCTCACACTTAGAGAACCACTGTTTCTAGACTGAAAACTCACTAAGGGCAGGATGAACACATGGTCGGAAAGTCTGAAAACAAGGATGATACTATTTTATTACATACTCTAGGCCCGGTGCACAAATTTGTGCACTGGTAGGGTCCAGCTCACCTGTCCCTGATGAGGGCCATCAGGGGCAGCCGTCTGGGGTGAGGGGTGATGGGTAGGGAAGGCCGAGGCAATGGGCTGCAGGCATTTTGCCAGTTGGCCCTGTCCCCGATTGGGGTGGGGGGCCCTCTTGGGGGTGGAGCCAGCTGGGGCAAGCTGCTATGGGCATTCCAGGTATTCTGGTCGTTCCACGTTCGGTTGATTTGCATATTAGCCTTTCACTGTATAGGATTGTAACAAACATCAACAAGCCATCTATTGTGCATTCTTGTCTGTTTCCAGACTTGCTGGCCACTCCACATGTCAGGAGCAGCAGGGGACTCTGAGAGCTGAGCGCCTTCCTGCATGATTTCATTTAATCCTCACTCCAGTGTTGTCAGGGAGATGCTATCATCTCTATTTGAGCAAGTAAACTGAGGCTTAGGAACACCTGTTCAGTGCCGCGAAGCTTGTAGAAAGCAAAGCTGGGGTCCAGCCCCACATCTCCCCGATTTCCCAGGCTGTGCTCTTAGCAGAATGCTCCACTGTCCCCATCCCTGGCCCCAGGCTCGGATAGGGAGATGCTCAACAAACCCTGACTGACTGACGGAATGAATGAATGGCCCACTCTCCTTATCTACAATCCACTCCCTGGAAAGGTTTATGACGTTGGTTGGTGGGTGAGTTAGACACTCTGAGGACCCCAGCCTTGCATCCCAAGACGTAATAATAAAAGTGAGATAGTCCTGGCCTGAGTGGCTCAGGAAAGGGTTGCCTGTGCACCGAAGGGTCTCTAATTTGATTCCCGGTCAAGAGCATGTACCTGGGTTGCAGGTTCCATCTCTGGCCCTGGTGGGGGGGCTGTGCAGGAGGCAACCATTCTATGTGCCTTTTACATCTCTCTCCCTCTCTCTCTCTCTCTCTCTCTCTCTCTCTCTCTCTCTCTCTCTCTCCCTCTCCCCCTCTTCCTCCCCCTCTCCTTCTCCCTCTCTAAAACGCAATGGAAAAAAATATCCTTGGGTGAGGATTAACAACCAAAAAAAGTGAGGTATTCAGATAATGTGGGAAGCTATTTTTTTTTCTTCTTCTAGTGCAGATGAGTCAAATTTCAATGAATAAATATTAACTTTTGCCCAGAGTCAGACACAGAATTGTGTCAGTAAGTCCTTCCCTTCATGGTGCTTGGGAGATGGCTCTCATGGTATCTGCAACTGGTGTCGCTGCTGAAGCGTACCTGTGGTTTGAAGGTGTCATTTACCGGGAAGGAGTGGTGCAGAGAAAAGAGCAAAACAAAGGGTTAAAATGTGGGTAAAACCCATCGCAAGCCTGTGTGTGTACCGCATCCTTCCAGGAGAGGGAGCCAAAGCACACGTGATTGGCCCGACTAAGGCCTCAAGGGGTTAGTTCAGGATGGCTCCTCAGGCTGACCTGAGCTGGTAGAGCCACATCTCAGCCATGGTGGGTCTGGTAAACTTCTTTCAAAGCTTAAACATCTGGCTCTGCTCCCCGTGGGCCTGCTGAAGCCGCCAGCTGCGGAGCTTGCCAACCTGCCTCCAGTAGCACCTCTCGCTCCAAAGTAGAGAGAGGCCATGTGGCAGGGACCGAGCCACACCCCTGCTGCTCCTCCCACGGGGGTGCGGGGCCCCCATTGGCCATGCCCACCTGGCTCCAACCCCCTCCAGCCCAGGGAGCCCCACCCAGCCGTTGTCACTTCCTCCTTGTTCTGGCCTGAACACTTGGCGCAGAAGGTGCCAGAATAGGCAGTCCCTTCGTCTGTGCCTCTAGCTCATTCATGAGTTGCTTCCTCATCGCTGCACGGGCTGCGGGAGGCAAGGACGCAGAAGCCAGGACTCTGTGCCCAGGTGGGACACCCCAACCTGTGGGACCCCAGAGGCAGCAGGGCCCCGGGAAGTGCAGTGGAGGTGCCAAGAGCTGTTCTGCTGACTCCAGAGGGCAGATGGGACACAGGAGAGGTGGCAGGGCAGCATGTTGGGTAGTTAGTGCCTGTCCTACCTCTACCCTCCGAAAGGCAAATGGTGCCCATGAGCAGTAAAGAAGGAGACAGATGAGGAGAGAAGAGAGCGGTCAGGGCTCAGTGCAGACAGGGACACGGAGGCTTGGCAGTCAAGTAACTTATTCAAAGTCCCTCAGCCGGTGGGATGGAGCTGGGTTCACACTCAGGCAGGCCCTCCAAGGTCATTCCTCACACGGCTCCCTTTGGCTTCCCAGTTGGCATGTTCTGGCGGGGGAGGGAGCCCATGTGGACATGGCTGGGTGAGGGATGGGCAGGGCACGTTTGAGGGGCAGCTAGCCCATCAGGGTAGCGCCTCTAAGACCCGGTGATGGGAGTGGCCTGGAAGGCAGGGCGGACCTGAGTGTTTAAAGAGTTGCGGACCTTCTCTGGGTATCGGGGCTGTGGCTCCTGAGCAGAAAATATCAATAGAACCACTGAGGTATTTTCTTAGGAACCCTCCTCCTCCTCCTCCTCACACTCTTCCCAGCCCAGATGCTTCTCCTTTGCTAAAGAAACAGAGAATTTCCATTTGGCCCAGGGATTCTGTTTTCTCTGCTCCACCTCACCGTCCTGGTTGGAAATCTAAGACCCTCTTGCGGTATCTCCCCCATCTTCTCTCCAGAACGAGGGCACTGCCCCCCTCAGCAGTCCTCCCTTTGGCCTCTCAGCCCCCAAGGCCACCCAGATCCCCCAGAAGCCTCAGTGCATCCCCTCAAGCTTCTCAGGGGATCTGTGGGCTCGTCTGCAGCCCTCGCTCTGTCTGCCAGAGAGGAAACCCTC